TACTTTCCACCTTTCCCTACTTTCCACCTTTCCCTACTTTCCACCTTTCCCTCTCTGTGCCAGCCTCCTGATATGATCCAGACAGACTTGTTTGACGGAGAACGTTTAGAGTCGTTACAGTCCTTTCAGCCTTGTCCCCGGTCCTTCATTAGTCCTGCGGGTGCAGAAGCACCTCTGTCTCCAAAGATTGAAAAAGTAGACATGTGTGTTTGCATTTCTGAAGCGTTTGTAGTTTTTAAGGGTGAGGTAGTTGTCTTTCCACCAAGTGACACTTTTCGGGAGACCAGAGATTTGAAACCTGTGATTAAGAAATTGTGAGGTAGCGTGGTGAAACCAAGTGCTCGTCAAAATAATGAAATCAGAGAATCAGGCATTTTTCCGCCAGTTTGGAAATGTCTGTCGAATTTTTATTTTTTGGCTTAACCTGTTTTATGTTCATATGAAAAAAACATTTCCTTGTGAATTTTACTGAAAAACATTGATTAAAGGCCCAAAATATGTAATTTTTCAGTTTTCAAAGACTCTTTAGCTATTGGAGTTACTTCATTTTGACGGCCTTTTTTTCACTAACTTCACCACTGAAACCAGACGACCTCACTTCCTTCAATCGGAAATATCTTGAATTCTATTCAAGATAAATGGATCTTTATTTCAATAGAAGCAAGGCAAATAAATTAGCTTTCAGATGATACTTATAACTCTACATGCCGAAAACTTGATAACAGCCTGGTTTCACCACGCTGCCTCACAATTGTATGAGTTATGTAAAATTTAAAACCAGCATTTGCTGGAGTGGAGGAGTCAATGATCAGTATTCTTTGATTCTTTCAAATGGTCGCTTTTAAGCAAAAGTGGGCTATCCTGCGAAATGCTGTTTTGAGAAAATCGTAGGTAAAGTTTTTGCCCCTTGTTCAGTTTCTTTAAAAGACACGAAGATTTTTTCTCTGCAACCTAACAAATATACACACCAATGAAACCAAACTTCTCCTATAGGTAGTGCAATGCCCACTTTTGGTGTAGGTCAAGATTTCTGGAAACCCCCGAAATCTGGGATAGCTGGCTTGTCCTTAAAAGCGACCAAATTTCAGCTAAAGTCGTTTGTTTTTATATTGATAAGATGAATATTTAGAGAGATTTTCTTTTAGTCAGAACACAACGTTTCATGTTACTGTTGTCTCGTAAAGTGCTCAAACCCTGTGTACTTTAATTGTGGTTGAGCGCTACATAAATGTCACTTATTGCTATTATTACCTAGACTTGAGGGAAATGAAGGCTTAACCTCGCACTATCCCAAGAGCGTATATTCTCAAATTCTCTGGATCCGAATTTGCGCATTTTTCAAAATTAGTGAACCTGATTAAACTTTAATTTTCATAACTAATGTTCATTTACCTTTAAACATTTTTATATTATGTTGTTATCTAAACCTCATTACAAAGACACTATAGGACCCATCACTTTTTAGAATGTATGCTTCTTTTTCTGAAATCCTGCTGTATTGGCTGGGACTGCGGTTAGGGAGTGCACAAAAATGGCTGGGGCTGGAAGGCTTAAAATGTTTCATAACTGTAAGGGTTGTTAATGAGGAATTTTATTGCTGTAAAGGTTAATGAGGAATTTTATTGCTGTAAAGGTTAATGATCAATTTCATTGCTGTAAAGGTTAATGATCAATTTCATTGCTGTAAAGGTTAATGCACAATTTCATTGCTGTAATGGTTAATGCACAATTTCATTGCTGTAATGGTTAATGCACAATTTCATTGCTGTAAGGGTTAATGCACAATTTCATTGCTGTAAGGGTTAATGATCAATTTCATTGCTGTAAGGGTTAATGCACAAATTCATGACTGTAAAGGTTAATGAGCAATTTCTATGTTTTGCTTGTTCTCAGACGGCAACTTCTTCAGCTACACCAGACATGAGCCGGTGGGCATCTGTGGACAGATCATCCCAGTAAGTGCCTCCGCCGTTTGTCTTCTGTTTTTAAGGCCACACCCGCGGGTTTTTGGTGCCCACTTTGGGTCCAAACAATGTTTTTGGGGGTTTTGAGAAACTTCCATAGCTTGAAAATCATGTGCTAAATCGAATGGAAGTACTCCCCAAGCTCTATTTCAAAGAGAAGTTTGTACAAAATCAGCCTATAAATTTGATGTATCTATGTCCAAAGGGATACAATCGAAGTAACTTATTTTGTCAGCATACTATCCATATCTTGTCATCGTTATTTATGCTCTTATTTTTTCCTCTTAGTACTGAAATATCGCTATAGGCCTACTGACTTGCTCTCATTATCATATTTACTCAAATCGTCCTAATTACTCATATTACCATAAAATCAATGGTTGTCAGATACTAGCAAGATCATTGACATGGCGTACCTGTCAGAAAGAGTAACATGCAAAAAAAGAAAAGAAAAAAAAAAGAAAAAGGAAAGAAAGCAAAAAATAAATTAATTTTTTTTTTTTGTAATTAAAAAAAACTAACAAAAAAAGCAAACAAAAACAAACCAAAACCACCCAACACCCCCCCCCTCCCCCCCTTCCCCCCCCCTTCCCACATCCCACCCCCTGTAAAAGCCCAAACAGAAAACACAGTAATTTCTACAATGTAACCTCCCCACCATCTTCCAGTGGAACTACCCTCTGGCAATGGCTACCTGGAAGATCGCGCCGGCGGTGGCGGCTGGCAACGTCGTGGTGATGAAGACTGCGGAGCAGACGCCCCTCACCGCCCTCTACCTGGCTTCTCTTGTCAAGGAGGTAAGAGTTTCCGACATTTTTTTTTTGCTCCGAAAATTATGTAGGTATTTTCTTGTTTGCTTCGGTATTTGTGGTGGAGCGGTTAACGCTTGGCTGCTGCACACAGGAGACCTGAGTTCGATTCCTCATCATCTTCATTGCCTTTCTCATCCTGAACCAGGGTATAGGCCACTGACAAACACTTTCTCACCCTGCACCAGGATATAGGCCACAGACAAACTCTTTTTCACCCTGCACCAGGGTATAGGTCACAGACAAACTCTTTCTCACCCTGCACCAGGGTATAGGCCATGGACAAACACTTTCTCACCCTGCACCAGGGTATAGGCCATGGACAAACACTTTCTCACCCTGCACCAGGGTATAGGCCACGGACAAACTCTTTCTCACCCTGCACCAGGGTATAGGCCACGGACAAACACTTTCTCACCCTGCACCGGGGTATAGGCCACGAACAAACTCTTTCTCACCCTGCACCAGGGTATAGGCCACGAACAAACTCTTTCTCACCCTGCACCAGGGTATAGGCCACGGACAAACACTTTCTCACCCTGCACCGGGGTATAGGCCACGAACAAACTCTTTCTCACCCTGCACCAGGGTATAGGCCACGGACAAACACTTTCAACCTTTCTCTATCCTGGGCTAGCCTTTTTATGTTATTCCATGTCTTCCCACTTTTCTGTACATCAATTTCTGTGATTCTTCTCCAGCTTCCATGCGGTCTTCCCCTTGATCTTTTACCCTGTGGATCCCAGTCTAACACTTTCCTTGTTATGCAGCTTCCTGACTTCCTGAGAGTTCAATTCCTTTTTTTTAATCCAACATCCATTGTCCTTATCACTCCTTCTTTTCTTTGCATATTACTCTCTTGTAACACCTCTAAATTTTGGCACTCATACAACCTTTTTCTATGGCAAGTGCTGTAAAATTCTTTCCAAAAACTAAAATGTAAAAGGCTAGACTGTCGAAAATGGTGGCTGTATTTTGGTCAGAAATCATTCAGTTTCTTTCAAACCCCCCTTTCAATTGTTTTTCATGTGGTTTATAACTCGTAATACTTTAGCTAGGCAAACAGTGTATTAGAGGACAACATTAAATGTATACACGAGACAGGTGTCTGTCAGCAAAATAAATTACATTCCGGAGGGTAGAAAATTGCTCGGGGAATGAGTTCATTCTGTTAATTTTAGCCAAATTGCTTTGAAACTGTATGGCCTGTCAACAGTCTATGGTAGATATGTCAGGGAAAAGTCTGATTTTTCTTCACATGTACACATTTTGTGTTTTAAAATATTTTTTTTTTTATCCTTTGCCCATTTATATGAGATTGACACTATCTGATTAGTTGAAAAAAGTGTGTATGATAGTGTCCAGTAGTGTATTCCGTGCATACTTAGTTTAACAAGTAACTGTAACAACAGATAGAGATTCCAGGATTATAGATGTAAGTCGTTGATCTGAAGCGCTGATGATTTTAGAAATAATGATGGTGATGAGTGATGATGTGGGATTGCGTTGAAGTAATGTTTGTGTTAGTCCTATCTTCCTCTGTCTGCTCCAACGAGTCGCGATAATAAATTGTTCTATAATAGCTCTTCGTACATTGACGTAGCTACCCCTGACATTTCTCACAATTAGGGCTGGTCCATTAGTTTCAGTCCCGACCCCAGTGTTCATACTGTCAACAGCTACATGCTAGTTTTAGCTGTTGGAGATACACATACCCCCCCACCGCCCCCCCCAACCCGGGCGGTGCCACAGACTGAAGTGTCTTTTGGCCATTCCCAAAGGGGGGGGGGTGCATTTCTCGTTCTAATGCACAGTAGAATTGTAAATGGGCGGATCTAACAATGTCATGCTCATAACTGTGCCTGATCTACAACAGGGAACTGCTGCTTATTCTTTTCTAATCCTTACTACATTAATTTTCCTCTACTTCTTTTGTATGTTTGTCACATTCTTGTGACCCGCTATTTCCGGGGTGCCTTGATAGTTGAAGCAGACTTTGTGCTGTTGAAGCTAATAATAATAATAATAAATAGCATTTGTATAGCGCATTTCCCCGCTCAACAGCAAGCTCTATGCGCTTTACACTATATTATTACCCCAGCAGACCATAGAACACTCCGAAACATTCTCAGCTTTCCGGGAAGCATACACGGGAAGCTAGAGAGGTGAGCAGAGTAAGTCTGATTCCCTGTAAGGACTTCTCTGTTGATGCCCACCCCTTGGCGCT